ATGATTAAAAAGTGTTTCACTCTAGCTTGGACTATATAGGCTAGCAGAAATGATGTAATTATAAACGAAGTACATAGAACTTACCAAAATACTACTAAATTTGCAAGCAACTATCTAAAAGAATATCAACAAGCATAAACAAGGTAAGTTGAGTAGGTAACGAAGCAACAAGTTAGGTAGCAAGCACCTTTGGAAAATACTACCAAGCTAAATTTAGACAAAGCTTTGGATTTAGTGGAGGGAAATAAAGGGACAATAGTGGTGGCCAAAAACTATATTGGGTAAGTGGTGCGGGCCATGTGTAAACAAGTTGTAGAATGTAGGGATTTTGTAACAATTGAGGCACTAGCAACAGTCGAGACAGTTAAATAAGGAGTTAAAATAGGGTTTCAGAGAGTCGAAATTGAAAGTGATGCATAAACAATTATAAAACAAATCACACAGAAGGTAAAAAGTCTATCTTGGCACATTATTGATGAAGTAAAGCTACTGTTGAACAATTCTATTAAGCGAAAATGCAAGTTTGTTGAACATAAGGTGAATACAGTTTCCCATTCTTTGGCAAAATGGCTTTAGGACATATTGGGGCAATTCAATGGGTAGATGAATGTCCAAAAGGTATAAATGTATTTGTTGAAAATGACAGGCTTTGCATATGAGTAATGAAATTTATATTTACAAAAAAAAAAAAGATATATATATGTCAATGTAAAATTTGTTGAGTTTTACAGATTTTTGTATTACTTCATGTGATTTTTGTTTTGTTAATTCAAGTATTAGATTTCGTGCTCTATTTATAGATCATGCATATAAATTTTCACATTTAAATGGTTTAGGCACTACTTAATAGCAAATGTGCATGCTATTTGTAATCCAATTGGCAGATGATAAATACATCAAATTTTTTTAGAGACTCTATGAAAAAAAAAAAGAAAAGTTGGTTGGTAAAATAAAAGAGCAACAAAAAAAAAAAAAACAAAGGATGTTCTTATGTCACCTAAATAAGTCATTTGCAGATGAGAATAAATATATTTTAAATTAGACCAACTACTATTTTGGGTTGGCATTGGACCATATCTATATTTCATGGCCCAATAATACTATCATCATTTTTATGTGTCACCCAAATTACCATCATTAGATAGTATCTTTGTTATTATACATTTTGTTAGAAAGATGATAGTTTTTGTTCTCTCCCAAGTTCCATAGGTTGGTTGGTATAGTTTTTGTTCTCCTTCAAGTTTCATAGGTTGGTTGGTTGTCTTTAATTCCAAATGATCACTAGGCCATCAAAGCCAAAATAAAAAGGTGATAGAGCACTGCATCTTCAAGACTTTGAAAAACAAAAAAATTTTTATCAACATTCATTAAGCATAAGTCTTCCCTTAGATTTAGGTACACAAATAAATGTTACTGCTACTATAATTCAATAATGAGACCCAAGTAAAAAATATGAGTTATGAATATTAAAAAGCAAGAGATGGAAGCTTCTTGTTGTCCAAGAAGTGAATGATGATTTGAAAAGATTATTGTGGAGCAAATACTTGAACATGGTGACTTGCTTCTCTTATTGTTATTAATAAAAAGGGAGAAGAATAAAATGAAAATTATATTATAAAGTTTCTTACTCCAAGATATGCAATTAGCACCAAACTATAGTTTAAATAGGCTAAATGCTCAATTTGAGATTAAATGTTTGGGTAATTGCTTAATTCAGGATTAAACATTTTAATTTCTACAAATAAAGATTAAACGTTATCTACTTACAACAATGTAAGATTTTTTCAATAAAAAATAGGATGTGAAAGATACACGCTGTTATATAGCGTGGAAAGTTTAATATGATGATGATGTAACATTTTTTCTTATTTAGATGCAATTAACATCTTCAAGCCTTTTCATTTAAACTAAAATTTCTACCTTTTTCTATTATTTGCATTAAAAATTCTAAATACCTTTAGAAATCTAGTAATATCTAAACTTATGTCTACAATTTTAAATCTTAGAATTCAACATACTTCTTATAAAATCTAGTGTGTTTTTCAAATAGTAAAAAATTAATTCAGCATCAGTTGGTGAAAATCTAAACCCAAAAATCATTAAGCATCAAGGTTTGCCTTGAAACTTCTACTATGACCAAAGAAAAAAAAATCCAGTCAATTCAAAGACCTAGAGTTCCAAATTCAAAGCCCTTACAAAAAACGAGTAACAAAGGAAGCAACAAGCATCGCCTAGCTTCTGAGAAGATGGTGTTGAAGAAGCAAATGTCTTGGATGTGTTGTTTGGGTTGCTCATCATTGCATTGCAAAATAAACAAAACTAATTGTTGAAACTTGAAGGTTCAAAGAAATAATTGCTTGAACCAAAAACTTATCTTTCTTTACACAATAAAATAAAAAATCCACTTTTTTTGTATTGCAAAATTAAGAAACTCATAAATGAAATGAATATGAAATGAATTTGGTAAAGTTTGAAGATCTAAATAACTAACTGCAAGACCTAAAAAATATGACTATCACAACCTACTTGTGCTTTGGTCATCTCTAAGAAAATCGTTGATAATTTTTTAAAAAAAAAAACATAAAACCCAAACTAAAAAACCAAAAAACTCAAACCAAGGTAGATCTGCTTTGAATCGTCATTTGCATCTTTCTCTTTCTCTAAGATCTGGTTTTCCTTTCACTATTTCAAAGCTCTAAAAACATTGCCTTCTTTGTTGTTCAAATGAGGAGTAGGATTAAAGGAAATTGAGGCTTTCTTTTTTTGTTTTTTTTTTAATATGAAGCTTTTTTTTTGGGTAATTTTAAGAGTGAAATTAAAAAAAAAAAAACCCAAACAAGATGGAAAGGAGCACTCCAGTTAGGAAACCACACACTTGCACAGCAGATCTATTCATTTGGTTTGAGACTCTTCACCCTAATTCTATTGCCTCCGCAGCTTGTTCCACTTGCCCTCATTAGGTACTTTTTTTTTTTATGCTAGTGCATTAGTGTTTTAATTGATTTTTTTTTTTTATTGATGGTAACCGTCGAATGGGATAAAAAAAGTGGTTTTTGGAGGTCAAGCAACCGATAAAGAATTTGAAAGCTTAAACAAATAGTAAGATCAATAAAGCCTTTTCACCTGTCATTACACATGGACAACTTAATTTCATGTCATATTTGTTTATAATGGTTGTTAAACTTAACGATGTGTATCATGCACATCCCAGTTTTTGTTGAAAAAAAGTCATACATTGTTACAAATCAATAACGTTTGATCATTATTTATACAAATTAAAATGTTTAGTCTTGAATTGAGCAACTACCCAAACGTTTAATCCCAAATTGAATATTTAGCCTTCTAAATAAGATCTCAATTGGTTCATACAACTATTTTAAATAAGTGACATCTAGTAAGTTTGGGATTTAAATCTCAATATTTGTAACCCTTTTTCTTATTCTCAAGTTGCAACATTCTTTATAAAAAAAAAAAAACAATAGTTGTTATGCTAAGAAATAGGTCTAGGTTGAAATATTATTAGTACTATTGGTATGTCTAAAGAGTTCATGTCTAAAATGGATTACCTCTCTATGGCTTTATAAGGGGTCCAATCTTCAATAATGTTTAGACCAAGGTTATTTAGTTTGTACCTCGTTGAGGTTATCGAAAGTCCATCATCCATGCCTTCGTTAAAATACAAGGGAAAGAAACAGGACAAGAAAGATCAAATTCAGGCCTTTATTTTATGTGAATTATAATACATTCATGTTAAAATGAAATGTTATATATAGGAATTTTTTTTTTAGATTAATATTATGAATGATCCTTAAATTATAGTGAAATATTTAATATGATATTTGAATTTAAAAATTTTTTAATTTAGTACTTGAATTATAAATTTATTAATTAAGTTCCATTTGTTTCGTAGAAAATGACTTTCGAAAAATGATTTCTAAAAAATATTTATATTTTTTGAATTGAAAAAGATTTTTTGTTGTTTGGATGAATTAATGAAAAATATTTTTTGTTGTTTGGTTATTTTCTGGAAAATCTATATATATTTTCAAATAATATTAATATAACTATTAAAATATTAAAAAAGATTTATTATTAAAATTATTAATATTAAAAAATAATTATATTTCAATAATAATATTTAATATTAAAATATTATACTAATATAAAAATACTTAAAATAAAACTATTTATTATTCTTTATATTATTCATTAATATATTATAATATTATTTATTAATAATAATTATAATATATTATATTAATAGTATATTATTTAATAATTAAATTACTAATATTTGTTATTATATTATTTATTAATATATTATAATATTATTTATTAATATTAATATATTAGTATATAATTATTTATAATATTATTATTAATATATAAACTATTATTTATTATATTATTCATTAATATAATATTATTTATAAGTAAAATTATGCTCAAAAGTATTAATAAATAGTTATATTCATAAACAGTTTTTTTTCAGAAAATGTTTTCCTATTTTCAAATCCATAAAACAATTTCTAGAAAAATGGTCTTATTTGCCATTAACTAGTAAATTATTTTCTGTTGACCAACTAATTTTCTATCAAATAAACATTCAAAAATGCAAAAATCATTTTTCGAAAGTCATTTTTCACGAAACAAATGAAACATTAATATAATCCTCACATTTATCGTGACTAGCTTGAAAAACAAATAATTTTTCAAATATCATATTAGTTAATAAATTTATAATTCAAATATAATAGTATGAATTTTTAAAATTTAATTACTATATTAAACATTTTACTATAATCTAAGATTCATTTATGATATTAGTCCATTTTTCTTTAATGAGCTAGGGATGTATTACCTGAAGAGCCATATACGAAGGCCTCCATTGATGAGTATCGTTGGAACAAGTGAGAAAGTTGGATTCTCCCAGGCATTGCCTACCTCGGAACTGGGGGACAAAAGTTTAACAGAACAATATATCAGAAATATTAACAATTTATTTTCATATGTAACTGTAATACTGAATAGAACCCATTTGGCTTTTAAAAGCTGGACGATGGGAAACTATAAGAGCTATAGGAGCTTGGTAATATTGGTTTATTTTCTCTTCAGTCATCGAACAGTTTCTATTATTTAATGTATGCTATCAATAATTTTTTTGGTATAACGAGCCTACAATCTAAAAATAAAAAATAAGATTACAAATATTAAAATTTGTATCTAAACTTGTTGTACATCATCCCTTAAAAATGATTACATGAACAAACTGAATTAAACTCTAAATTCATGTAATCAATATTCATTTACAGTTAAAACTCCGACTCCAAATTCTTTCATGGCAGAGTTACCAAAATCAGTCATCACCATGTCTCTTTGATCCTCCCTAAAAATAATAACATAAGTGTAGCACATTCTAGTGCTTTACATTTAGGGACCTTAAATTAGGTTAAGGATTCAGTTTTTAAGAAGGATGTAACTAAAATAGAAGAAAATCCCTTTTCAAGAATGCTTTGCCTGTGTTAAAAACTAGCTGCATGGTTCAAAACAATTTTCACCATCCATTCTACACTGACTGGTCTTTCCTTTAGCTGTCTAACCTTCAATATCTCAGCTCCCTTGATTTAGCTCCATCTCCTTCTCTTCGTCCACAGGAGTATACCATGATGGTCTTCGCTCTGAGTTACTTAACCTGTAGTTCAACAGCACCTCTTCATCACAAAGTGCTGTAGTAGCCACCAAAACAATAGTCTTTAAAACAGGAATATCTGACCCACTATTTCTTGAACCCCATCTGAACCAAAAGCTTCCAAATCTCCTCACGTTTACTTGTTCGGCACTTCCAAATGATATATTAGGAATATAAGCTCTCATGTCTTTTTCAGTCAGTGGGAAGTCATAAGGGCAAACCATCACATTTGGCACCATTTCTTTAGCAGGGTGATTGACGAAATGGGCCAAAGCTAGAGGGTTTCTACGCTCCAAAATCTCACCACTACTCCCCATTCGTGAATTTTGCAAAGGCTTACCAAGCATTTTCCAGAACCAGTCTGAACCTTTCTCTGTAATTTCTGTGTTGGGCTTCATATCTCGCATTATCGAGCCATCCCACAATTCACGTCCTTCAGCCCCATAACCCCAAGGTTGGGCATTGATGACAGTCCCATCATATCGTGTGATTAGATATGTGTTTTGAGCATCAACTCTAGGGTATCCAGGAATATATCGGTAATAAGCTGAGGAGTATATAACACCAGGGTACATCGCAATTACAGCACCAATATTAGCTTCACCATTCAAATATAAACCTTGTCCGGCTTCATTGTGGGGTATTTGAGATGGTTTAACATCAAGAGTGTAGCCAATGGAATCCTTCAACCTCTGTGAGAGTTCAGTGCGTTTCAATGGCCTTCTCTCAGGAACATCTGCACTGAAAATCATCAATAGTTAGGACAGAGAAGGAGATTATCAGTGGCAGGGTCTTCCATTTATCTCTACTATTACTGGTACAATATAGAAATTAGGGAGAAAAGGCATATATAATCAAAGTCAAACAAAAGATAAAATGATCCATATGCCAAATACTTGTTGGCATTTCATTTTTGCACAGATATATCACAAATTTAGCAACAATAATAAAGTTCAGTTAAATTGTCTATATTGCATTATTATCATATATACTAGTAAATATATGTTCATCATGGTTATAAAAAGATCAATGTTTAATGAATTTATTTTGCACTATCACAATTTTCTTAAAAAAAAAAAAAGCTTCACCCCAAAAGTAACGCAGAGAAAAAAAAAAAAAAGTCCCTCTATGAGCATTGACTCCTGTCTCATACCTCAGTAAGGGCTGCATTGTAACCGAAACTTGCAGTGCAGGTCTAAAACTAATTCATATTTTAAGTTTCAAAACCAGAATCCTCAAAATACAGTTGCAATAAAAAAACAAAAAAAAAAAAAGATGCAGTGCAAAGCAAACTGCTATAAAAGCAGTGGAAGGCCAACTTCCTTGAAAATGTAGTTTGGTTACTCCATAAGACTCGATAATTTAAATCATATATGAGAAAGCTCAGAGGATAAAACTTGAAAGATACCGAACATCCCATAGACGATACATAACATGCAATCCGCTGATGATACAGAAAACAAAATAAACTATAAATCTACTTACCAGGACGGTCAATAGTTGGGCCATTCCCTCCAACAGCAAAGTTAAGACCACTTCGGGAAGGAGTAGCATGTGATTGCGATTCCTGTGGCTCATTGGTATCGGGAAGAAGAATTTTATCCATAGCAGTGCAGAAGCTTTTAATTTGATAATGAATGTTTTCTTGCACTAGCTTCTGTTGGTCAGCAAAAGAGGCATTACTAGCCATGTCAATGATCTCCTCGGCATCAGCCTCATCAGCGTTCTTTCCCAAACGATTGAAACTGAAAATTGCACAAGCAACAATTTCAAGCAATAATGAATAAGAAAAGGGGGGTATCGGAGTCCACCAACCTGGTATACATAAATAGGAGGTTGATGTCAGCTTCAAATTGGAGTTTCCTTGGGTCCCTGGAAAAAGTGGGGCTTTTTGCAAGGGTTCTCACAGCCTGGAATATCAACAGAAAAACATTTATTTTATGCATAAAATGGCCTCAGTTAAACTCCAAGTTTGATTCGTCATTACCCAATTGACCTAACATAAATCCTGAATTCTATATCATCTTTCACAAGAAAAAAAGAATTGCTGAAAATGTAACCTTTTCAGTTATTTGAGATCCTAACATGAAGAAAAATGAAAGATCGCTGAAATGGAAAGGGTATATTTAGAGAGAAAAATGGATAGCAGGAGAGATAAAGGCACTTACATCTTGGAATTTGTTGAAAAGAAAAGCCATTGAGAAAGCAGCTGCCAGCAAAATTCCCACTCAATCTCGAAGCTTTGCTCAGCTTGGCTATGCCCTCGTTCCGATTAGAGACGCTAAAGCAGAAGCAAGTTGAAATGAGAAAGCAAGTCCGTTTTACTAATTTTGGGGCCTTTTAGGTTTGTGCTTTGTTTGGGTTGGATTTGGAGAATGTCATTGATTGGGCTTTCATGGACATTAGGCTTTTAACTTTGGATCCATTGCATGGCTTATCCGCTCCATTAAGCAGGGATTGGGCTTCACAGAGGCCTATTTTTACCGGCGATGGCATAATGATAAAGAGATTTTTTTTATCTGATATTATCACGACTTGCATTTTTATAATTGAAATTCAAAATTTAATAATCTATCAACAATTCAAATAACTGTTAGTTGGTTTCCTTTTATTTTATTAATTTTAGTTAAATAAGTTAAAAAAATTAATTTTAAATTGCGAACTTCTTTATATTAAATTTTTTTTTATAAATGAATAAATCATTTAATTACACACACACACGCATGAATGAGAAAAGTTTAACCAACAAATATTACCATCTCCTTTTTTCTAGTAACAATTGGACATTACCCAAGGAAAAGTTTAACCTGTCTATATCTGCAAGAGTAATAATAAAAGCATAAAAATTCGGTAAAAAGACAAAGATTAGTCTCAACCCACTAGCCAATAGATAACATGCTCGACAATTGCAATAGAGTAACGTCACTATCTTTGGTATCCTTTTGAAGTGATGAAGTTTTCCAATATATTCATATAAACTCATTGCTTTGGGATTGAAAATAAGAGACAGTTCGCTGTATCAGACTGAGGCATGACAATATTATACACCCAATTTTGTCATAAAAAGTTTGGCTTTTGGGGAAGCATTCTTATTATTTGGATAAGGCTACACATTTCTCAATATTAAAAATTACTACACCACTAGTACTTAAATCCCCCAATCGCTTTAGGAGCTTAGCATGCTAATTAAAATTTTTGACATCACACTTGCTGTCTACCCCGTCGTGGAAGACAAAATCTGCCCATCCCGGATCAGGATTCAAGAAAGCAATAGTTCAATGGCATATATTATTTTAAATAAATTTTAAAATTTGATAGTGGAACACAAAAGTTATAAGAAAGAAATCAAAATAATATAGTTTAAAATTTAATTTGATAAAATTTATATATGAATTTAATAAAAATAAAAAATATAATATGTATTTATTGTAACGAAATAAATTATGATACTATAATTTTTATATTTTACATATATTTGATATAAAATAAATACGATATAAATATAAAATTAGTGGATTTATTTTTAAATATTTATATACATTTAATTTATATATATTTATTTTTAGAGAACTCTTTAAATTATTCATCAAAAAATAGGAAAAAGCCAACCTTGTAGACTGTAGTTGTTCTGTAATGATTTTTCTTGGCTTACTTGATCTTGATTTTTATGCAAAGCAAGATAAGGATATCTACTACAGAAATCATATAGAAAAATGCATGCAGGGAGGGGGACAAATGCTAGTAGCTAAAAATTCTAATGGAACTGTCACAAACTTTGCTGAACATAACTGATTTAGCGACACAAATGGCTATCAGCTACGGCCCTACTGGCAATAGTCTAAATAGCAGCAGCAGCTAGCTAGCTAGGAACGTGAAGGTGGCAAGGTGTCGGCAGTAAGAAAATGGGTGAAGAGAGAAAGGGACTGATCAGGTGCGAATACCGGGACTTGATGTCCCGCACCGCGCACTGTGGCAAACGTCAGGCCTCCTTCATACGTCTCTACCCATCCAGCCACTTGGCTCTTGTAGAACCATGCCCTCCATTCTTCTTTAATTTTTAACCTCATTTTGTTTATGCTGTACCTCGTTGATGTCACTGGCACCCTCCCATCAGTATCGCCACTGCAACAATAATTATATAAAATCACAGCAAAACTTGATTAGCTTAAATCTTTATCTTGCTTTGAAAAGAAAATTGGTATACATGTACCTGTAAATCCAAATGCGTAAGCCAGCGTCGAGGAGTTTTTGAATGGTAGGTAACACAGAATCTGGAGAGTCGTTCCAACCCTTAATTACACCACTGCCAATATTCAGTTACAAAGAAGTCAATACTCTATATCTATATACTAAGCATGCGATTGCCTATAGCATTGGGATCTTTCAAAATGAAAAGATAAACAGAGTGATGGGCAATAGAATATATAAAATGCTAGTATCATATAAAAGCTGACGGTTCTAAAATTTGGGATAAGAGCAAGGAAAAACCGAAGGTAAAATTTGGAAATTTAATCCTCCCACGAATAAGGATCACCCATTGGCCCCACATACAACCTTATGCTCTTGCATGGAATAACTATTTACCATTTGTTGTTATTTTGTGCTTTTCTCTACTATCAAACAGCTTGAATGAATTTTTTTTTTTTTTTTTGGGGGGGGGGGGGGAGGGCATTAACACGTAGAGTAGTTTGGGTTGCAGAACGAAGTGTAAACAAAAGTGAAAAAGGTAAAAAATCCTACTGCTGTCCCTGTCTTTCATTAAATTTTATGTGGCAGGAAAACAGAGAGAAAGCTCTGCTTCAATGATTTGACACATGCTCACATTAAATGTTCGAAAGTTCCAGGATTCTCTGGCTACCATTCTCTCTCTCTCTCTCTCTCTCTCTCTGAGGGTACAAATGAATCGGGGCTGCCATTTTAAAGTAATATTAAATAGTTGTAAAGTAGTTGTAAATTTGGAATTTCATGTACTAGACAATAAATAATTTGCCACATTTCTCAAAACAAGTATAGAAACTGTAAACCACAGCAATTATGTTTTACTACCATAATCATATATTAAAAAAATGCATGGGGCTGTCTGGTTTAACCTGCATGTAGTGTAAGGATAGGGAAGCTTTGTGACATTAGCATGCAGGGCAGTCTGAACATCTTTTCTGTTGAAGTATTTCTCTACATAATCTTCTGTGCAGGGATCGTAGCCTGATGGTAGCTTATGCCAAAGGCCCTAATTGAAATCAAGTAAATTAGTAAAAACTGTGCATATACAAATGTATATATAATTATTCTATAACGACAAGATAGCAAAATATTTTGGGACTGACATGTTGCGTGAGGAGACGAGGAGCAACTACGAGTTTGGAATAGGTTCTGCCGGAAGATTTAAGGCAAACGGGGGTGTAGATGCTGTACATGTCGATGTCAGAATAAGCTTCCATGAAACCTCTCATATGTTCAGTGCATTGAGCTGTTTGGTTACTGATCTCTTTAAAACTGCATTCCTTGTTTATCTTATCGTAGAGTTGGTCTGAAATGATGGCGTGACTCCAGGCATAATCAAAAAGCCCTAAGGTATCAGTTGGTTCATTGATGGCAGCATTCCCAATCTGGATTTAATCAAAAGAAACATTGCAGTTCATGTTGAAATATATTTCAAGTCCACAAATAGCATTTACTAGCGGAATAAAAACTATACAATTCTGCATATATAGATATGTATTATATTTTATACCATGAATCCCTTGAGATTAATGTATGAGTCTTTGCTAAATCCTTTGTTTTTCTCATAAATGAATTGAGCCAGCTGGGGAACATAATGACCTGACAGAAGCAAAAGAAAAGAGTGAAACGAAATGCATGTTCACGTATGGTAAAGAGTGAAGAAAAAAATTAATAGGCGGAGACCAGAAATCTACGGAAAATGACAGGACATTTTGCACAAAATAAAGGGTGGTATTGGTACCATACCAGCATAGCTCTCTCCGGCAATGTAAAAGTCATGGGATTTGAAGCTTGGAAACCTTTTGAACCAATTGATTAGGAATGTATAAGAGTCTGCAGCAGTAATTTGATCACCAAGTTTACGTAAATCTTCAGAATTGTTGGTGTATGAAAACCCCACACCAACTGGTGCCTCCAAAAACAACATATTTGCAACTAACCAAAGCAATATAAAGAGTGAGTACTTGAAATCGAGATAGAGAATATATTTGGATGGAAGTTTACATAACAAATATTAATCTAGCAAATTTATTACCTTTGTTCCAAGAGAATTTGTTAAAAGTAAGCTCAGTGCCATTGCTACGAACAAGGAATGGACCAAGTTCTTGAGCAGCTCCATAGGCCACTGATGAGCAACCAGGCCCTAAAACATTGTCAATTTGGTTATTAATGGCTTGGAAGTATATATAAAGAAGTAACCATTTTTTCTTTGAAATTACTTTGATATAAAGAATGTCAAATTATTGATTTTAATCCATATTTGTCTATCTAGTTAACCCGTAAGAAACATAATCAATCTAATGAAAAGTAGATTTAATAATTTTAAATGTTATTAAAATAATATAACGGTAAAAAAATGGAAGTAATATGATTTAAATTTTTAACAAAAAAATTATATAGATTTAAAAATATATAAGTTTCTTCCGTCCAAAAGGAGAAAGAAACTGTGCTTTTGAAAAGTATGAGTGGAAAAAAAACATTGATTATGGCTTAGATTGGAGGAACACTTGGGCCCCAAGTCCCGGATCCGAAATTTTTACACAACAGAATTGTCAGTCACATGTTGCCCACGCAGGGGCCCCATAATTAATTTGTCCTAAAAGTGAAGAAACAATTTCACAACAAGACAAAAAAAAAAAAAAGTCTAGCCATGCCGCGGAAGGGCGGCAGAAGAAGACTAAAAGCATCATATAGATTACCCCTTAATCCGACGGCTGATATTTCTTGATGCAGAGATATTACACTAGTAGATGCCTATCCGGTCAAAGTCTCAAAGGTTGTGGCCCAGCAAGAGGTAGGCTCAAAGTAAGTATAGGTAAAGCATGCGTCCATGCCAAATTTTGTCTTTGAAATTGACAAATAAAATTTGGGCAACGTGCTAGTACTATTTTTAAAATTAAATTTTGTGATTCCAAAATTGACTTGGTGGCACAACTGGTAGGGAAAATTTTTTTAGTGAATTATTGAAATAGGTTTTCTTACAATCAATTTTGTTTGTCTTCATTCATTATTTGTAGTCTTTGATAATGAAATTGAAAGGTTGAACTAATCATGAAAACCATGCATGAAAAAAGCTAATTTTTTAAAGGGAAAATCAATACATAAATGGGTTTTTTTATGATTTTTTTGGGACTTTTTTTAGGTTAAAATAATAAAAAAATTTGGAATTTTATCACTTAGATAAATTTTTATATTTTTATTGCTTGCAAATGAGCTCTTAATTTTTAATTTACATTCAAATAAATACTTAAACTTTAAATATAATAAAAATATAAAAATTTATTTTAAAAAATAAAACAATTTAGGATTTGTTTAAATATTTTAACTTTTTTTAAAGCATTGCGAGCTTTTGTGATTTGAAAATGGCAAAGTGAAAATAACAAAGGAACGGTTGAAAGAAGAAGATGTAGCAGTGGGCCAAAACCACAGAAAGGAAATTAAAGGAAATTAATGTAAGTGAATTTTTTGAAGTTCTTGCACACTCAAATGAATGAATGATTATTGCCTGAAAAAAAAAAAAAGTGTGGTTGTTGTACACCGTACAGAGTTGCTTACATTTCCTGAAATATTTTTTCTTTTCTTTTCACTTAGCTGTTAAAAAGTGATGACAGCAAATATTCTCCTCTTTTACTGTGAAAAAATTTTCTGAACACTTATCATCTGCTCCTGTCAAAGTCCTTTACGTGACAAATGTACTTTGAAATGTCTTTCGTTTTTTGAATCGTTTCTAGCAATTAACACCCACTGATTAAGTTTCTTTTATCACCATTAACAAACAAAATGAAAGAAATTAGCTGGCTCAAATCTGATTAAAGCAAGTGAATCATGGAAAAAGAGAAAAAAGAAAAGAAAAGAAAAGAACAGAAGTTGAAGAGATATAGATGAAAAGAAGATACCAACCTCCATTAAGCCAAAGAACAAGAGGCTTGCGAGCAACTCCACTTTGGGCTTCAAAAAACCAGTAGAATAACGCTTTCTGATCTTGAGGCTGGAGTTTCACGTACCCTGCATAGTGCCTAAAGTTCACGGCTGGCTGTCCAGGCAAGTTTGTGACTCTGTCAGCCTCTTGCTGCCGCAGTAGTACCGCTTGTTCTTCATCGCCGGAAGGTTGTCTGCTATGGGCCAAGATGGGAACAAGAATGAACAGAAAACAGCATAGGGAAAAACAGGTGCTTAGCTTTGCCATTGAAACTAAGATTTGCTTGGCAGCAGCTGCAAAGGAAGCAACCTAAGAGTAAAAAAAAAAAAAAAACAAAAAGAAACAGAGAAGTGAGAAAGAGTGAGACAGTAGAAAAGGACAAGGCTTATATATATATATATATATATATATGTATGTATGTATAGGAATGTTAGGGGCATGGTTAAAAGATCCTGAACCCACGACCATGAACCAAGAGCGTGGGTGGCATTGTGCTCGTGAGACTCATAATTTTTTTTTTTACTATATAATGTTGATATAACTATTATTATATTTCTTTTTGCGAAACATTGTCAGGGGAATTTCGCTTGAATACTTTGCAAGCCTTTCTTTTGGGTATAGGGTATTGACCCCATATTTTCATATATTATTTATTAAGTTTATTATTAATATCTGAATTTTATATATTATCAGTAAAATAAATTAAATGATATTATTTTATTAATAAATAGATTTTTCAAAAAAAATTAAATTTTATATATTTATTTTAAAAATTAATATTTATTTATTAATAAAATAATATTATTTGATTTATTAATAATATATAAAATTTATACATTAATAATATATTAAATATACATTTTTATTCATTTATTTTTTTAATGATTGAATAGCATGCCGTTTAATTGAGTGGCTTTTTAGTTAAAATAATTACTTACTGAAAAAGTGAAAAGTGCATTGTTCTGCATGATTTTAAAAAACAATATGATCCAGGTTGAATCATAGAACTAATCTCTTTCAATTAATTAATGAGATATTCACAGATACATTGGATAATGGGGTAATGATAGATACATTGGATAGTGACTCTTTTTTTTTAATATTTCGTTATACAAAACGACGAGACACTTTTTTTTTTTGTTAAAAAAATATATTTGACTTACATTCGAATTCACGAGATTTTTTCAAATTGAAAATTGATTTGCAGCGTAGACCAGCAACATGTGCATTATAGTACATTGCTGTCACGGTCTTGTTGGAGCACATCATTAATTCCTCCTTGCTCTGATCAACTGCCTAATTTAAAATGTAAAATTGAAATATCTATAATATCCTCACATAATGGCATTTATTACACTCGATTCTGTTCATTTCGAGAAAAATTATTGGCATGGTAAGCGGGTAGGTTTGTAATGTGGTTTTCTCTTCTACAACTATGTATAATAAATTTATTTTAAATTTAATTTTTAAATTAATATTTATATTATCAAAGAAATTATTATGTGTAAATAATATTTTTTCTACAATTCTTCAAAAATATTTTTTCCTGTGAAGTATTATTATGCTAAGAATAATGAGTTAATAATTGAAAGGCCACCGCCTAAATTGAGGGCCCAATTGCACAGAGATGTATCCGCGTTCGGTTCTTTGAGTGGGGTCAATGGCCTCCGCACTCAACGTTAGAAATTTTTATTTTATTTATATATATAATTGTTTTGTAATTTTTCTAGATTAATCTGATTTAAATTAAATAAAAAACTAATGAGGGAAGTCAAACAAGTACATTTTTCATTCATTTTTATTTTAATAAAATAATAAATATTAAAAAAATTTATCTTAATACTAATGATGAAATTTTTAGATTTCATCAACAGACTTAAAGAATTAACAATTGACATGTATTCAAATAAAATATATTTATGAATATTAAAAATTAATAAATTAATAAATGAACATATCAGTTCTTTAATCTTATTATAGAGTTTAAAATTTGCACCGTTGTAGAAAGGTTCAAATAAGCAAATTTTTCTTTCATTTTTATTATAATAAAATTTATAATAATATTATTAAAAATGTTTTTGAACAAATAATTTTATAATAACGATTATAATGTGGTTAAACAGAAAGTAATTAAGATGAAGAAGAGTGATGAGAATGCAATGAATAAATAATTGAGAGGCTACACACACTATTAAAGGAAACAATGCAACATGGTGTAGCCACATTGTGTTGAGTGAGATAAATTTAACACCACTCAATTCTATAAAAACTAAATATAATTATATACATATATATGTTTATAGTAATTTCTTTTGTAATTTTTTTATATTGACCTCAATGAAATTAAATTTAAAAAGAACTAAGAAAGGGCCTCAAATAGGTACATTATTAATTCATTTTTATTATGAAATGTAATAATGAGTAATATGTACAGTCTTTGTATTTGTATTATAAATAATGGTCCTACATTAATAAACATATATGATTTAAAATGAAAAAAGTCACATACATTAAAATCTAATCATATATATATATTATAACATACATAATTACCTTATAGAATTTGTTGACATGGACACTTATGTGAACAACATCATTTTTTGACACATAAAAAAATTCTTAAAGTTTTTTTTTTTTATAATGACACATAAAATATTTACTAATTTTAAATTATTTATCAAAAAGATATATTTGAAAAGTTATTGAATTATCTAAAATTTTAAATTTTAAATAAAAAATAATTTCAATTTCAATGAAATTCTTGTCTTTTATATCACCTCATCTCAATTTAAAACTAATTTTTAAGTAATTTAAAACCAAATCCAAATGGAAAGAGAGGATCGTAATGTGGGTCGTCAACATTCATAGGGAGATGGTCGATAATCTTGAACCATGTCCTTACAAGCTTGTCGATGAGCCCATAGTTACCAAACAGAACATTAGCAACACATTGGCCATCAGTCCCTAAAAGCCAAGTAGCTACAAGTGCAGCAATTGATGAGAGATAGGGTTGCATGACAACTGGCCGGCCAAAGATGACCACTACAACACATTTCACAACCCCATAAACATTGTAAATAGTGCTTGGGCCAAGCTTAAATATTGTAAGATTCAGGTTTTCACCATTTGTTTCTGTATATGAAGGTTCACCCACAACAACAATGGCATAAGAGAATTTGTTGGACTTGACAAAGTTTGCATCAAGGTTCTCATTGTAGACAACTTGGGTGGTTGAATCGACTATATTTTAATAATCTAAAGGATAGTGATATGTGTTCATGCAAATTGTATTACATCAAATCATTCTAAGTTAACATTATGAAGAAGTTTTCCATTTGATAATACCCTGGCTATTAAAGATTGATCCGCATTTTTCTGATAGATTGTTTCTTCCATGATACTTTAGACCATAAGACATGGTATATAAAGGCTTCAACAATGATTAAACTCAATTCAACCAAATTGAATCCATGTCAATTTTAGCTAACCCCTTAAGATAAAGTAGTTAATAACACTAGCAAATTCTCACAATAGTACAAATGACACTTACCACATGGATTGATTTTAGATGGTGAAATTTTCAATGCCTGATATCTTTATAATTGATCAAATGGCGCTTATATCCTGTTCTATCAAGTTCCAAGCATGTCACCTAGTTTAACGGATGCAATAATAAAACTTAAATACTTTTCTGGGTCATTTTATTCGTCAAAAGCTTTGGACCAACAAAACCTATATATATGTTTTAGTGGTTTTAAGTGTAAATTAGAAAGTACCACTTATGAGATCATTACCACTAAGACCTTGCCATGTAATGGTCCAACCTCCATATTGATAGCCTGAGTTATCAGCATGACTTCCAGCAACGAATATCTTAGTTACTTTCTTGAAAAGGGTAACAATGGCTTATCGGTAGACTCACCATTTTTCAATAGGACATGACTTTTGCTCACAGCTTCCCTTGCTAACTCCTTGTGTTTCTGTTCAAAACACGTTATCATTTAGTAAAGTCTATTTGATTTCTTCTTCACCCATAAATGATGATAAATGAAAAGCATCCAAGTCCATTTATAACAATAGAACAGATCTAATTTACTTGACTCTTAAATTGGTTAACCAAGCTGTTATCAAAACTAATAAATTTATATAAAACTCACTCACGAGAAGATGGAGATGTCAAACTGAAAACATTATTGGGAGAGTTAATAGATTATTCATATATTTTCGAAGTAAAACTCAATGATTATAACTATTTTCATGTTCAAGATTAACTGTTATACATGTTCATGAGATACTTTATATCGAGGATAGTCGGTATTTACTTGAAAAAATACAAAAGATAAGTAGTTTAATACATTTCATAAAAAAAAAATTTCAATAATTTTCTTAAATAATTGTTTACAATTTAATAGTATTAATTACTCAAATTTTAAAACTATTTCATTTCAGTTGTTACAGGAACATAATTTTACATTAGATGTCAATCTCAAAACAACTGAAAGGCATAAATAATTGGAAAGTCATATAGATGTTGAAGATCATAATATTACTTAAACTTTTTAAAAAAATGTGCACGTGAGTAAGTTATCACGTATATTATTTAAACATTTAAAATCATTATTTTTCTTAAATAAATAAAACTTATCTTAAAATTACATAAATTTGCAGGTGCATAAAAATGATAAGAAAAGCTGGAGATGATGCAAATTGAACAAAATTAATTTGAAGTGAGACTTTTAGTTTCTATTTTAATACTTTGTTAGTGTGCTTAATACTATTATTTACAATATCTTTTAGTTTTTTTCTTCTTTCAATATCATTTATCGTATATTTTAAAATTTATCAATTTTTTTAATTTAAATTTTATTTTTATTATGATTTGATAACTTTTCTATCTTTAGATGTGTTCACACATTTAACACAAGGATACCAAATTTTTCTATCTTCAGATGATATTACAAAAAGCAAAGTCTAGAAAACTAGTAACTTTTTTTATGTATTCTTTACTGGCTCTTGAAGTGGGATTTATTAACGCCTTATCCATAAAATGTAAGATGATTTACCCTGTAATAAATTATATTTAATTTAAAACTTAATTTAAAACAATATCATTTAATTTAAGCAGTAAATAAAATTTAACTATGTAAGCATAATGTCACATTTTTATTAAGAATAATATTTCAGATATACCTTTATAATTAAAGTTATGGAGGTTTAGGAGAAGCACAACCAAAATCACTTTCAGTTGAATAAACAAGAAACAGGAAAAAGAAAAAAGAAAAATAGCTTAAAACAAAAACAAGAATATTTGAAATAACTTACATTTGTCAAAGGACAAAATCTG